CGATACGGTTCTTGCGGTCCTTTCTAACGAAGGATGCTAGCATGGCGATTGTTATCGTAGTCGGCGTTTCAGTGTCTTCAACCACAACGTAGTGCTTAGTGTAGTAGTTGCGGTACACTGGGATCACGTTCTTTTTCCACAGCAAGTGATCGGTTTCTCCAAGAATGCTTGCGAACAAACCAATATCTTCACCGAGCAATTTTGCCACGCTGTACCAGCTCCTTGTCAATCCAGCATTTGTACGTTCAGCAAGTGTCCACTTTGACAGCGGCTTGAACAGATGAAGCGATTTGTCAGGAATCCACCACATCAAGCAAAGGTGGGCCCAGTCCTGAACTGCAGGAATTACGGATGATTTTGCCGGTTCAAGCTCTTCCTCCGTATGGTCCTCAGCGTCATCTTGGGCACTGGCGGAAGGCGATGGTGTGGATGGAGCCGCTAGTGTAGTGATCTGCGCTTTCATTTCCAACATCAGATTTTCCAGGCGTCGAAGGCGTTTAAGAACTGGTCCTTCTTCCGTATTCTTGGCGGCTTCGTACGGGGCGCTTGGACAGCCATGCAAATAAGTCTTGTCTGGTGCCAAACAATCTGCAAGTTCGTTATCTTCGGATTGAATCGTGACGTCGAGTAAGTACCGAACCAACGTTTCGGTTGACTCGGAGACGTTCCACCCGGCCCACCATTTGATCATTCGAAGGGACCAGCGGCGAGCCGGCTGTGCGTACATGAATCGGTATTGGGCGCCGGCACGACGAAAGGTATGCGACGTAAACCAACTGTTGGTCCAGTGCTTGGAAACGTAGCCAGGGATCTCTTTACCGTCTCTGTTGAGGCCACGAACGATGCAGTTGAGCAGGTTGATGAAGACCTGCTCCGACATCTTCTTTCCCCAGCCTACGCCCACCTTTTCACAACCTGTAGCTGCGTCGTTTGTCTTCAGTACCTTCTTGCTAATGTTGCTCAACGCTGGGAAGACGTAATCATCATCACGCCAATGATGTCCTTTACGTTCGGATGCATAGTCGACCCAGTTGCACAAGTGCCGGTATGCATTGATTGCAAGCTCGTCCTTGGGCATGTGGTGCAAATTATACATGCGTCCTTCAGCGACGGCCGTTTTACGATTGAAGAGTGCATACGTCCCATACTCAATGATCTCATCCGGAGAAACGACACTGCAGCGGGTCTGGCGAAGTGTGATGTCCTTCCACTGGAGAGTCAAAACTTCATTGATTCGACACATGCCATAGAATGCGAAAGATGAAACAGCCTTGAACCACACGCGACTTTCTTCGCTGAATCCCTTAACTCCCATCGGAGACTCCAAGAACGCATGAAGAACTGTGATCATATCCAAAGATATCGGAACCGCTTTTGCTGGTACATACTCTGATGCCTTCTTCTTCTTGAGCCCACGCATGAATTGACGCACAAACGGATCTCGAGCAGGATTTCCGTATCCACGCTTTTTTCCAGACTCGTCTTCTTGAACTCTCCACGTGTTGACATCAGTTCCGTCGGTGTTTTGGTGAGAAGAATAGTAACTGGCGACCGCAGATCTCGCCTTCTCAGCTGTTTGTAGCGAAATGGAACTGGAAGCCGAGATACTTTGCAAATATGCTACCAAAATGACGGGTAGTTCGTGGTGGCGCTCGTGACGAGGGTCGGGGTAGCCGTTAGCGATGCAAAAATCAGAGAACTTCTTAAAACTGGATTCGTAGACAGTCTGCGTAGCCTTCTTGATCACCTCGTTGGCTGTATGCTGACCGTCTTTAGCCAACTCGAGGATCCCCATCTCTCTCAGAAACGTCAGATTGAGAACTGGCCACGTGTTGCATCCACGACTGAACTGTCGTACCTTTTCGTATGACTAGTATTTTTTAGTATGAACTCGTACTTCTACATCTGACGCATACTTCTTAGTATGACGCGTACTTTTCAGTATGAATCTTCACTCTCCAATAAATATCCGCGACAAAGTTTTAAAATAAAAATATTTTAAAAAATATTGTCAAAAAATGCGTAGGAAACTTCGTGATCCTGATTGGTCAAATAACAGGAAACAACATCAGAATGTTGTTCGAGAACAAGGAAGTTACTTCCGAATTGAGCTCATACAAACTCTTAATACAGAGTTAGTGCTTCCTCCTATCGAAACAACGTCTGGGGGCACGAAAAAATTGATTTATAGGGTTAGGTGTATTTCTATACAAATAGAAAGATAAGTGACTGTACGGGCTAGTATTCGGATGTTGTTTCAGGAAGAGTAAGCTCTACTTCCACACGATCACAGATTCCGTTACACCGACCCTAGCCATGCGGGCGCATATCCTATGATCCAATGTTACGTCATCACTGATCACAAGTTTCAAGCTCAATTGCATGTACAGTTCGAATGGCTTATCGAGATTTGATTTCAAATTAATAATTTGACCGAGAGTCTCGGTCCGAGACACTCACTTTCGATTCTCTCACGTTAAGTACAAGCCCCCTCCCCCTCCCGACACATTGCAGTGATGAATTTTAGACGTTTCATCATCACTATCACCGTCGCTCTGTTGTCTGTTGAGGCTATCTCCATTAATCACGATAAAGCGGAGCCGATCCCTCAGCCAGAACCAGTAACTGTGTCGGAGAAGGCAGCGGTCAAGTTCAAACCAGAACTCACCATTGGCAAAGGCACTTGTGCCTCGTTTCCCGCCGTGAACACTGCTGGAGAGACCAGTGGGGGGCTGAAAGGATCAGGAGGTACCGGTGGCTGCAAGGTGTCGCTTTTGGGCTCGCAAGTATACGGCCGAGCTCAATGGTACAACGACGTCTGGGCCATCATGTATGCCTGGTACTTTCCCAAGGGCTTTTGGGATGCATCTCCGTTCTGGCGTCACGACTGGGCGAATGCTGTTGTATGGGTTGACAACCCTGCAGCGGAAAACCCGAAGGTGTTGGGGATCTCCTTGTCCAAGTCCAGCGATAGATACAACAAGGAAGTACCTGCCAGACTGGCTAACGGCAACACGCCAGTTGTTACGTATTACAATCGTGGATTGAACACTGCTGCGTTAATGTCCTCCAGTACATCTTCGGGCGAGTCACCACTAGACCTCATCATGTGGGAACAGCTCACGGATGTGGCACGTGCATCGCTGAATGACAAGGAGAACTTCGGCCGATCCGACGTCCCGTTCAGCGATGAAAACTTCCCTGGGAGGCTAGAGAAAGCGTGGCCGTTTTAACCCACAACACTTGACGTAGTCATCTAACACCAAGCGAAAATACTATTAAAAAAAATCTTTTTCAAACTATCAATTTATTAGTTTTCAGAGAGTAGTGGTAGTTGCTCTCCTTGTTGCTGTGCTTCTAGTTCTTCTTCGACTGAAGTGTGGCATCTTGGTGCTCCAAGCCATGTTAGACCACCCCACATTTCCTCAAATGCTCCGTTTATCCTAGCTACTCCTGCCACAGAAACCAGCATCGTTGGTACAACGTACATGAGCGCTGGCTGTCCAGCTACGACATCTCGTAGAACAATGGCCATGATATTTGCGACCATCAACCCAAACGCGTACGCGCACGTAGCCACACAAAAGTATCCACGCGATAACGGTTGTCCACAGCAATAGTCGTATCGAATGCAAAACGCTACAAGAAGACCAGGAAATATAATATCTCCCAGCCCCAGAAGAGCTTCGCCGCCATACACTGAGAATATCAGCGGAACGCTCAACACCATGGGTGTGGGCTGGACAGTAACCTCACTGTCATCCGTAACCCCACTCAACCGCGTGCTTCCACCTCCAGATGCCACGTCTACCATGACGTTGGAACCGAAGACTAACGGTGATATATACACGAAAAACACGTCGTAGATAAATGCTGCGGTCAAAATGCTTGTAGCCACTCGTAGATTCGGTAATCGGACTACGTCAATAAACACGATACAGACCGTCAACGCCATAAAGTCCTGTATCGGCCAGACCCACGACTGCGTACGCGCTAGAAACCAACACACAGCCAGTGCAGGCCCCGACAATGTCACGAAAAGTAGTAAAAGAGCTTGACAATTACTACTGTTCGGAGACGCCAAAGTAGCCACAAGAGGGAGAGTAAACACATGTGAGAGCGCTGCAGACCCACCCACAGCGAATAATACACTAAGTATCAGAGACAAATGCACGTAGTACAGCAGCACCAGCACACAAGACGCCCCTACTAAAAAGTATAGAGCGTGCTTGCTACTGAGCTCCAGTCTGTCGTCGTCTATACTCTCGTACTCATTTGCTGTCGACTCCACTAGCGTCGAGATGGAGCTGCTGGATGGGTTACGATCAAGTCGTCCAGCCAACATCCGAGCCACCTTTTCATACGACAATTGTCGTTCTTCGCTGCACGAATAATACGCTGCTACTACGACTGTAAACACTCCAAGCATCCACGTGAACAGCATCGAAACATTCCACGGCGTTTCTTCCGTATTGAGCGCCCATACCAGTACATCTGCATCACCAATTATACTCACTGTATCGTCAATCCTATTGCCATCCTGGAACGAAACCAATAATACTGGAATATCCACATCAAGGTCCACAGATGCGTCGTCTGCCTTTGTCGGCTGCATCTGCAGCCAATTACTCGTAAAACAACAGGCTTGGAACCGATCTGTTGATATCTCCGCAGTATTACCCGTCAGCACACAAGCGTTTGTCACACATGCGGGTTTAGACGAACATGCCCAGGCTGAAAAAGGGTCTGCAAGCTCCGGGAAGATGGAGCTATTGGTCGTTACCGTTTCCTCTCCAAGTGTACAGTCATAGTACGCGCTGTGGCTCAGCTCGGCAGCGAATGCGCCTGCAATTGAGTCACGTATAATAACCAGTGATGCGTCTGCCTGCCGAGCCGCTAGCGCCTGTTGCTCCATGGAACACGTGACACTGCGAGGGATCAGCAGTGCTGCCTGCTTGGGAAATGCGATCACTTCTTCGCTTACAGGCTTCATTCTGCTACAATCGGTCGTCATTTGAGCCTGCACGAGTCTCCGCGATTGATCGGGTGTCGAAGAAGCCTCGTTTACAAGCAACTGTCCAGTGACGCTTGAGTAGGAGGCTGAAGGCCACGATACCCGCGGTAAAGCAGCGCCGAATGCCGCAGTCTTCACGCGGAACTGCTGTGATGTGGTTGGCGACAGAGTGCGCAGCTGTAGCATGTCGATACACTGCGCAACATTGAGCATTGAGAGCAGCAGAAGCGCGACCAGCGGCACCATGACGACGCTGTTCGTCTACAGACAGAAATGGAGAGAAACTGACCTTTCGCACCGGAAAATGACCCTCTCTATTGTGATATTTTTAAGCATGGCCTCTAGTTTGGAATGAATGAGACGAATTATTCTTTCCTTTAATGTGTTATATTTACTTACCGTAAAATACGGCTGGAGTGAGACAAACAGGTGGAATTGAAATTGAAATTGTCAATCCTCCCCCTACGATTAACACCATGTCGTGAAAAATAGCAGTGAGCCGCTATTTTTCACGACATGGGTGTTGTAACTATTGTTTTAAATACGGTGGTGAGTGATGAGCGGTAAATTTTACAGTCGCTCCTGTACTTTGCCTGCGTGTTGGTGTACTTGGGGCTCGCTCCCTAAATCCAAAATGCCTGTTGAGATAACTATTGATTCAAAGGCTGTTATTGTCTAAAATGTTGCGTAAAAGTACGAATCTATACCCGTCCGAAATGATATTTTTGATCCCCACCAAATAAGAAAAATGCCAGTTCGGGGCCGGTCCAAACAGTTTTTTTTCTAGTTGCTTGTATCTTTTGTTCTAAGACAAACAAAACGACACCAAGGGTATTACTCCAGAGCTGTTAATTTTGTCGATTTTTTCTGTGTATTTCTGAAGCATCAAACTAATGCATAAACACAACAGACCCGATTAAAATCACATCAAGATGGTGGTCCTGCCAAATAGGGGCCGCTTCAATTGACTTAATTTTACTAAGTGATTCGGCCTTGTCTCTAAAATAGTACCTTATAACTGGCCAATCACAACTATCAAATGTAAAACTATAGTATTTCATTGAGCAACCAGCGCCTAATTGGCAATCCGGGCCCGAATTGGCGTTTTTTTCTTATGTAAGGGGGATTATTCGCTTAGAAATATTTGACAAAGTTACACAAAAAGCAAATTTGCTAATCAATCATAATCGACGTATTTTTGTTACTATGGTTTCGAGCTGTACTATTAAGGGGCTGTTACAGTAGCTTCGCAAGTGCAGATGCTGCAGCTACGAAGCAGGCGCAGGAGACGTGCCGGCAGAGGCACCCCACACGTTCGAAAGTTAGTTTTTTTGCTAAATTCTAGAGCTTCTTCGAGCGAAGCACGACTTTGTATAGACATGTGAGTCGATATTGTACCTACTATTGCTTACATAATAATACCGAATTAATCCTTATAGATACTACTAGTCGTAGCACTACAGGAAAAGGGTATACTAATAAAAAAATATCTGTAAGCACTTCGCGCATATTTTTTACCAACAGTAAGGTACCAGTTATAGTAGCAAACGCTCTAGCTCCGTTGAACGCGTCGATGATAGCGTTGGGGTTTGTATTAAGAGCCGGGTTTCTAAGTAAGTTGAACTGACTAAGTCGACACTACGTACTGTAGCTCTGCTCAAAACACTCGCTTCCAGTAAAATCGGCCTTCATCCTACTCGAAGCACATCGGTCGTCATTCCCTAAGACGATAGTTTCTTCGTGACTTCAGCGAACGACTTGCCCTGTTCCATCGCAATGTCTTTCTCCAGTTTCGACACCTGGCGCGAGTTGTCGGGGCCGGCGATAGTGCCAGCTCCCCACGGAGATCCGCCATGCACCTCGTCTACATTGAACAACTGTTTGGCACGGTAACCAAGAGGAACGAACGTCATTCCGTGCGAGGTCATGAATGCCATTGTCATTAGCTGCGTGGTCTCCTGGCCGGCTCCCATGAGTGAGGTACTGACAAAGCAACCTCCGGGCTTGCCGATGAGGTCTCCAGCGGCCCAAAGTTGGCCGGTTGCGTCAAAGAGGTTCTTGGCCTGGGCTGGGAAGTCACCGAATCGGGTGGGGTAGCCGAAGAGAATACCGTCAGCCTCCTTGAGAGTCTGTGGCGTGGCGACGGGGTAGTCCCTCTTGGGTGGAGCGTGCATCTTGGTAAGTATTTCCTCCGAAAGCGTCTCCGGAACCTGGTAGATGGTAGCCTTAACACCTTGAACGGAATCGACTCCCTCCTTGACGGCTTCGGCCAGCGTGACGGCGTGCCCATAGATGGAGTAGTAGATGATAGCAACGTTCACAGTCATTGCTTCTTTTCCGTTTCGGTATGTTCTTCACGAGGACAATTGGAGAATGGGAAGATTAGTTTTATTCGCATAAAGCAGGGATGTCGGCGACATCATGGCGCTTTTCAGGTATCAACAATATTATGCCATGTGGCGAATAGCTGAACAAGAATTGCATCTGTCCCTAGCTTACGCGGCCAACGCAGATTATGGTCCCCTCACGCTTCAGTCCTACAGGTATGATGTAAGAATGAAAAACTTGACGTCTGTAAACAACCAGCCCCTTTTCTATATAAGCAGTAATGAATTCACTTGTCATGCCGAAACAAAACGCGCAATGGACGCGGATTCGAACCAAGACCTAAGCATCCAAATCTTGCTTGGCAGGCAAAACATTTTAATAACTGGAGTAATTCCCTAAGCGCTTGTTCCGTCTAGAATAGGATTGTGCTCTATACCCTACGGGAATCTCCACAGTTAAAATAAGAACCCCAAATTTATAATTTTGTTCGGCGGCTTGCGTCAACTTTATCGTTGCGCATGGTGGGAGTATAACTGGCATTGTCACGATAATAGAGATCAGCCATCATAATCGATCCGTGCCGCATAAGCAGTGTCGCGGATGTATAGTGAGCTGCTATTTTTCACGACATGCTGTTAGTATATTGTTACGCAAACAGCAACCGTAATCTGACAGGCATCGTAAGCAGCAACCGTAATCTGACAGGCATCGTAAACAGCAAACAGTTACACAAACAGTGACGCCAACATCTATTGTTTTAAATACGGTGGTGAATGGTGAGTGGTAAATTTTACAGTCGCTCATGTACTTAGATAACTACGAACTTGTAGAGCTTTCGATGAAAATGTCGCTTGCCGTTGGATGGCAATCAGATCTCTCGAAATATTTTTTCCAATAAATGGAATAAATAACGTTAAATAACGGATCGGTTGCTCAATTATATTGACGCTTTTTATTTTACTGTTTAATTTAATTTAAATGAATTATGAATTAAACTTGTGGAATGATTGCATTAAAGTCCAATAATTGGTTTTACAAAGGTTGACTGGTACCCTGTACCATTCGATATACATAATAAGTTATTGTACCATAAATCCACGGCAGATTCTCAGATTGCGTTTGACGTGCTAAAGGCGTACGTCAACAGAGATCTTCAGCGGTGACATTCACTCTGGATTCCGCACTCTGGGACGCAGTCCGCCATGATGCTGCATGCTTCCGCTCCCGCGCGCCCTGCACTGCGTCGCGCCTTCTCCTCTGCTGCTGGCTACGTGCAGGACACGATCATCCCGACTTACCACTTCCAGAAGAGCCTTACGCGCTTGCCGATCCCCAAGCTCGAGGACACGCTAACGCGTTATTTGGCCTCAGTGGAGCCCGTGGTGACGTCTGATCAGCTCGCAGAGACGCGACGCGCCGTCATGGACTTCCAGAGTGGAGTGGGTCCCGAGTTGCATCGCGCGCTGGTGGCCCGTGACGCGGCCAACACGCATACGTCGTACATTAACCAATGGTGGCTCGAAATGTACTTGGACGACCGCCAACCGCTGCCCATCAACTACAACCCGCAGATTAAGCTCAAGATGGACCCTGTGCCAGCTAAGAACTCACAGAGTCAACGTGCGGTGTCGCTGATTGCGTCAACCGTGCGGGTGCACCGTACGCTGCGTGATAAGAAGCTGGAGCCCGACATTTTCCACACTAAACCGGATACCACCAAGACCAATGCCTTCCAGTACTTCTGTAAGCTACTGCCGGAGAGTGTGAGCTTCTATGGAGCTGCCGCATTGGGCGCTTATCCACTGGATATGTCGCAATACAAGAACTTGTTCTCCAGCACGAGACTGCCGAGGCTTGGACGCGATGAGCTCAAGGTGAGTCCAGGCTCCAAGCATGTGGTCGTGCAGAGAGGAACCAAGTTCTATACGTTCGACGTGCTCACTGCGGATGGCTCAGCTGTGCCAGATGAGCAGATTCTGGCCAATGTGGAGGCCATATTGGCAGAACCGTTGACTAAAAGCACACCGGACGAGCCGGGAATGGGACTCATGACGACAATGAACCGTGATTCGTGGGCTAACGCTCGTGAGAAACTGGAGGCCAGTGGGGTTAATAAGGCGAATCTGGAACAGATTGACAGTGCATTGTTCGTCGTGAGTCTGGAGCACGAGTCTCCTGCCACGCCTGAAGAGGTGAGCAGCACGTTCCTGATGGGCGATGGCACCAACCACTGGTTCGACAAGAGTTTCCAGCTGATTATTGCTGCTAATGGCACTGCTTCAGTAAACTTCGAGCACGCTTGGGGTGACGGTGTGGCGGTGCTGCGCTACCTCAATGAGTTGTACGGTGACAGCGTCAAGTATCCGGTCCTTAAGGCTAGTAGTCAAGCCAAACCGAAGGAGCTTACGTGGGATATCAATGGAGAGACGAAGCAGTTGTTGAATGAGGCCAAGAAGACGTACGACAAGTGGACGTCCACGCTACTGGTTGCATGTGCGGAGACCCCAGTGACGCGTGCTGTTGGTAAGCAGTATGATATTGGAACGGACGGGCTCATGCAAATGACCATCCAGCTGGCGCACTTCAAACTGCACCAGAAGTTCGTGGCCACGTACGAGAGCGCCAGCACCGCGGCATTCAAGCATGGACGCACAGAGACTGTGCGCAGTTGCACCAACGAGGCTGTGAATTTTGTGCAAACTATGACGAACTCGTCAGCATCTGACAACGAGAAGGTCGCTGCGTTGCGTGCGGCTGTCAAAAAGCACAGCGAACTGACCAAGAACGGCGTGATGGGCCAGGGCTTTGATCGTCACCTCTTTGCGCTGCGAGCCATGGCTGAGCTACAGGGGATGGACGTGCCAGTATTCTACACCTTGCCAGCTCATCAGATTATGAGCAAGATCATTCTGTCTACCAGTACTCTGTCCAGTCCGGCGCTTGAAGGTGGCAGCTTCGGTCCTGTGAACGAAGATTGCTACGGTATCGGCTACGGTATTGAGAAAGAAGGCTCTGCTTTCCAGCTCTCGTCCTACCGCAAGGACCTGCCTCAGCTCAAGGAACTGTTGGTGGAAAGCCTCATCGACCTGGAGCGCTTGCTGGCCGACACAACTCCCAAAAAGTAAGTGAACAAATCTCTCTGAAGAGATTCAGCGTAAGTAATTGCCGAGAGTGTTAGTGAATTGGCTTGAAGATACACAACCTGCTTGCTCAATAGGCCTTCGTTTTATCACCGTCGTCTTGGTTGCTTTGGACTACGAGGTCGGCCAGAGCTGGAAGCGCTCGTGGGGCGCTCTCCACCTCCTGGTCGCTTGGCTCCAGTCGTTGCAGCGTTGGGGCCACCAGGTCCCCCCGTGCGACCAGAACTTCGGTCTCTCCAAGCCTGTGCATTTCCTCCCCCAGCTTGCCCTCTGTTCCTGTTATCTCGTGCATTGTTGTCGCCTGCATTGTTGCGATCACTTCGCCGTTGAGGTTGCTGTTGTGCGTCTCGTGAGTTATGATGGCTACGACTGCGTGACGCTCCATCACGACCACGATGGTCGTTGTGATGCTGCGATGAGCGATTGGCGGAATTGTCGCGGTGAGGACTGCCTCCTTCAACCTTTGCGTCGACTCCAGCAGCGCCGTCCTTCTTGTTTTTCCACGGGAGATTTTCTTCCGCCACAGGCTCCACAGTCTGCGTACGGAAGGACACAGGCTCCTTGCCAGGCTCGTCGAAGGCCCAGTCCCGAGGTTCAGGCTCCTACTCAATGAAAACAACAGAACATGGTCAGATTAACATGATAAAAAGCTAAAGGCAAATAGCCGCAGAGTACGTACAATCTCCTTGAAATACTCGTGTTCAAGCGCTTCCTTGGCTGTGATTCGAGTTTCAGGGTCTGCAAGTAGCAGCGAGTTAGTACAAATCGACGTGCATGTTTGAGAAAGCACTTACCATATTCCAGCAGTCTCGAGAGCAGGTCAAGTAATGCAGCTCCAGCACGACCTGGACCGACCTTGACCGCGTTTTTCAACTCCGACTGCGTCGGATATTTGCGTTCGCGCCCCATCTGTACGACGTGGTTGTATTCTGGCAGATTCTCCAGTCCCTCCCACGTCTGCGGCGTCGGCATGCCCAACACCTTAAAGATCTTATCAAGCTGGTCCTTCTGGAACGGTGCATTGGATCCCTCCACCTCCTTACCACAAAACAGCTCGCGAGTGTTGATCAGCTCGGCGAAAATGCAGCCAACTGCCCATAAATCCACCGCCTTTGTGTAGTGCTTTGCTCCTAACAGTAGCTCCGGCGCGCGATACCACAACGTCACCACAACGCGCTCCACATCCGACAAAGCTTTGATCGGCTCCTTGTAGATACGTGCCAGACCCAAATCTACCAACAAATAGCACTCTTAATAGCCACAACTAACAGCAAATGCCATTGTAGATGCCGTACCTGCCAGCTTGACTTGTCCTCTCTTACGTCCATGCCCCACCACCAAAATGTTCTGTGGCTTCATATCTCGATGCATGACCCACGCGTCATGCATGTAGTCCACACCTTTGAGGATCTGGTACATGAGCGACTTGCGCGTGTACTCGCCCAGCGGCTTCTGCTTGCTCTGTACGATGATGTCGTGCAGGTCGTGGTCTCCGTACTCGAACACAAGTGCCAGGGACTTGTCCCGCGGGTCCACGTGCACGTCATGTAGGTGCACCACATTATCGTGGTGCATCTCACGCAGCAATTTAATCTCGCGGATGGTGGCGCTGGACAGCACCACGTCGTTCTTTCCCTCTTTATGAGACTTGACCAGCTTAATCGCGAACGTCATGGGATCCTCGTCCTCGACGGCGTTCGAGCCGCCCGAAGTAGGACGCGGCAGTAAAGCTGCAGAGTGAGACTCGGCCTTGAACACCATACCATACGTACCCTCGCCAATCTTGCCCAGGATGCGGTACTTGTCCGTCAAGCTCTCGGGCCGACGCAACGCCGAGCGCCTCATGGTGGATAAGAGTGAAAAATGCTGTGATGATGTACAATACATGGGTTTGGTGTTTACAACATCAGTTGTGTTCTGTTACACCACGTTGAACACAGCAAAGAAACGGGCTAGGTGGCATAATTTGAAAATATAAATTATCAAGGTAATACAGAGTGTAGGTTCATTATTTTAATATCGTGCCTTTGTAAGAATCTCCGCGAATGAAATGTCCCATCAAAATTTTGCAGTTGTCGTGCATCAATTCAAGGAGGTACCTCGAGATTCGCCCAATCGCAACTAAACGCCACTCTACAACAAGCAACGAAAAGCTCAAACCGTAAATAACGTTATGAAGTACCTCGAGGAGCCCCAACTGTCGTGGCTCAACTCGGTGCTGGGCAGCTACGAGATCGGCGACCGCGTGCTCAATGGCAAGATCGAGACGTACTCGTGCAAGAAGGCAGGCAGCGACAAGCGCCTGGCCAAGAGTCTGGAGCTGTACTACCAGCAGGAGATCGAGGCAGCCGCCGACCTGCTGGGCTCGTCCCCGTTGGGTCCCATCGCCGCTCCAGCCACGCGGAAGCTTCTCATCAATCTCATCTCCACTATGAACGCCAGTTTCCCAGACTACGACTTCAGCGCCGTCAAACCCGAACAGTTCCGAAAGGAACCGGACTTCCGGATAGCGCTGCAGCGCATTAACCACGACCTGGCTGAGCTGCTGGAGGCCGAGGGCAATGGCTTCGTGGAGAAGATGTGGGAGGCCATCGCTGAGGCCATCAAGCTCGACGAGTGCGACGTGTACAGCTATATTCCGGACATGGATTCGGACCCGTTTTCGGACGGGAATCTGTACGTATTTATGGATTTTCTGGATGGATTTTCTGGGTATTTACGGATATTGTACATTAGGTGGTCGTTCAACTACTTCTTCTACAACAAGGTGCAGAAGAAGGTGCTGTACTTCACGTGTCTGTGCAAGGGGTGAGTACTGAAATGGCATAGAGTAATTCTTCAGCTATAAGGATAGTGTACTGATATTTTTTGTGTACGACCAGCTTGACATACGACAGTGATATGGACGACGAAACAATGGAGGATTCCGTTGTCATGGATGACGACGGAGAAGACGCAATGGAGGATTACTTTGGCATGTCGCCGGACTGGTACGAACAAAGCTTGAGCGACTGAGTGCAGATTTTTTTTTACCGATTTATTGATATGCAGGGAGGACGGCTCGTAAATCTGTACGCACACAGTGCCTTCGCGTGCACTTTTCCCTCTCACTGCAGCGCGTCCTTATCTGCAGGAAGAGACGACTTGGTCCCTTTCTCCACATCTCGTCGTGCGGTCTCGCTTTCTCTTCTGGAGCGGATGAAGGCAACCACGTCCCAGGTTGGACAAAAGCAGTCGGAGGGAACGACGCGTTCGTACTCCGCTGCTGTGCCTTAATGCTCTACTGTATATTGGTTAATGTATGCTTCACTTTGCGCTGCATATCCGCGTAGTCAGCTGTATTATTAGTGTTTAGCGATACGGAAGAGGCTCTCGGACTGAGAAGGTATTGGACACGCCCGCGACGCCGCCCAGCGCGTTATTTTCCCGTATTACCACCTGGAATTTCCGTGCAGATATCCCCGAATTCGCAGTACTTGGTCTTGCAGTTGCTACGGGGATATTGGAGGATCCGACTGTGACTTGAGCTCGGAGCAGCGACGCACGCGGAGAAAATGACGAGCTAGGACGCTTGAATGTCGTTCGGTCTGGAGGTGCAGCTACACGATTATTAACTGTGCGAGGTGAAGCCGATTGAGATCTACGAGGAGCTGGTTGTAGACGTAGCGGTTGTTCAGGCTGGATACAAACTGTGGACTCGTGTTGTTTTAATTGTGTGAGTTGTGTAGTAATTGCTGCCTTCTCGCGGAGTTCTCGAGTCACTTGTTGCTGCAAACGACGGATTTCATTCTGATAGTGACGTGTGGAGTTCAAGTACTGAGTTTCCAGTCGTTGCCGTTCCTGCTTCGTGACAATTGTGTCGGTAGCAATTTGTGTACGACCAGTATTAAAATCCGTTGAACTCTCGGTATCACTGTCAGGAACTGTACGGATTTTGGGAGAAATCGCTGGGAGATCGTCAGATTCTGTACGATTGTGAGTCGCTGATAGTCCTCGGACTTTTTCCTCTCGTCTTCTTTGTGCTATTGCCTCCATCTCCTTCTGCACCGTCGTCCACTTTACTTGAAAATAGGTCTTCTCCTGGGATAATTTACTCAAATTCTGCTCCAATTGCTTCACGTAAATCTGCAATTGTTCCACTTCATTACGTAAAAGTTCATCAGCAGTAGCAAATCTTTGCGTAAGTAAAAATTCTCGTTCTTTAGCCGCATTCTGGGTCTGTAGTTGCATATCTCCGAGCGCTTGGACCTTCAGAAGCGCTTGTTTCATAGCTGCATTCTCGCTCTTAATGCGTACAATATCTTGCTGCCCACGCAGTAAATGGGACACAGATTGTTTTGTAGTCGAAGGGAGGGTACCAGAGTAGTCCAGAAGTTGGTCCACGAACTGTGAGTGAGCGCCTTGTATCACCGTTTGAAGCTCTCGTTGCATCGTTGCGCGATACTCCGCAAACTTCTGCTGCTTGTTGAGAAGCTCTGCGTGCATGGCGTGTAGCTTCTCTTCATATTCGGCATTGAGCTCACAGCGCATCACTTGTCGATCCAGTTCTCGATTTGCCTCCAAAACCCTCACTTGTTTACTTAAAGCTTCGACTTCAAAGTACAAATGATACGCGTGATCTGCCGCGAAAGCTTCTCGTCGGATACGCTCTTCGTCTTTCATTTTCTCCCACTGGTTTTCAATCTTCTGGTGATTTAGAGAGGCTGCTTCAATTTGGTCGTGCAGTTGTTGTACGGACGTACTGTACAGATCAAGTTGCTGTTTGTTGTGCGTCGTACACTTTTTGGTAACGTCGTGAAGGAAACCGGACATTTCAGCTGCTGGAACGACGAAAGTAGGAGCAGACTCGCCTGTAGTATCGAATTGCTCTGTATCAATAGGTATTCCCTTGTGGTGATAATATTTGCTCAGTGCGAGCAGCAATGAGGAAGAAGTAGGCCCTGATACCTTTTGACTTTTTCGAGATGTTCGCTGATGTTCACGATGCTTTTTACGGTGATAAAGGAGCTGCTTATAGTAGTTTTCAAGTTCTTTCATTTCGGTATCCACCCACGTCAACTCGACGGATAATCGGAGATAAACGAGCTGCTCTTCGATACACCTCGAGGGTGGGAGGACCAGCAAACCTGACGTGCAAAACTGAGTAAGCGGTGCTGTCGCTCCCATCTGAAGACTTCGTAACGCATATGACAAATCTTTCGATGAAGCTGAAGATGTTCTTATATCAAGAAGACGTTTCTTCATATCAATGTTTCCACCACCAACGACCGGTATACCGCCAACTGAAGAGTCAAATTCTGGAAGATGAAAGCGCTCCCATAGATCTTCCAGAGCGGCCAGGGCGTCATTTTCTGCGGTGAGCTGTAAATATAACGCCGGGTTTTCCTCCTTCTCTCTCAGACGCACTATACCTCGACAATTTTCGTCGATATACACTCGATGCAGTTCCAACAAACGTGTCAGAACTTCAATGTACGCACTGTCTTTAGGTTCATATTTGCTTACAGTGTCTTCGAACGCTTGCCACTCCCGTTCCCGTTCATATGGTCGGACTTCACCAAACAGCGCTCGTTCACCAGCGAGTACAAACTTCTTCATATCTGCTGTAAACGCGGCATTGCCAATCCATTCCGTGTCTTGAATTGTTACTTCCATTGTGATTTTCGTCAAAATTGATCGAAAATTCATCAAATATTGTCGACGCTTTTGAACATGTAAACCAGATTTTTTCTGGTATGTCTGCAGTATTGCAAACGCAGCTGTGCATCGTAGAATGTGGAGTGAATGTACACTGGCCTCATGAAGCGCAGTAAGCATTTCTTGGCGTATTAGCGAAGTATGATGTTGATTCTGTAAATGTTCCGGGTGAGCGTCAAACAAATCTGCAATCGATACGGCAGCTTCGGGGCTGAATCGGTGTGCCAAAAGATCCAAAAATTGTCGAATTTCACAATGGAAAAGCGTCTGCCATCGCTCAAGTCGACTCAAGCCCGAGTGCATGCCTTCCACAGTATTTGACGTTTTCTGCCGGGTACTACCAAACCGACAACCGCAACGTATCCGCAACAAGTCGAGAATGCAGCCGAACTGGTGGAAAATACACACCAACGAGTGTAAAGTTTTCTCTCGATACTCCTGAAGACGTATGGCTTGTGCCGTGGCTGTTCCACTCGAGGGCTTGTCATTATTTGTAATCATTGCAAATTTTTGTAGTAAGCTATGAAATGATGGGATCGAGTCAAGTAAAACTTGAATATCTGAGTCAGAACTGGAATGAGTTAAGTCAAAATTTCGTTTAGGAGAGGAACACGACGTTGGAGGCGTAAGTAGAAGTTGTTCCACTTTAGGACGTTCGTGGATATGGAGATCCACTTTGAGTTGATGCAGCTTGACCAGGAGCCACTTGGTCAGTTTACAGGGTTGATCTTCATCGTTTTGGACAGTAAAAGCACATTTAGCTCGTGTAGCCGCACTCAGTTGTTTCATAAGCTTTTTTTCGTTGCGAAGACGTTGCAGATGATCGTTCAATATGATTAGTAAGCGTGGATATCCACATTCATCTTCTAAAAAATGTCCGCACGCAACAATATCATCGCGTTCTTGGAGTCGTTGTTTAAGAATTTCCAGTTGTTTCCAGTATGGGAAGCAGCTCGTCTTCAGCTCTTCCGTCATTTTGTCAGCGATTTCTTTTGCGTATTTCGTGCGGACCGTGTTTAAATCCATTGCAATCGTTGATTTCTCGTCCGACGATTCAGTTGTAAAAGAGCTGGCTAAACACGCGTAAGGATATGATGCTGCAAACTCGAAAACGTCAGCGCCCACAGCGTCTTGATACTTGACGCTTACTTGAAGATACGCCACATACTGTCGCTGAAGCTGTAGCAACGAGTGTCTCCAAGGCTCGAAATCCTCTGCTTGTGAATCATTTTTATCACTTAACCTCAACTGCGCTTGCAGCCACTCTGATACGGGTTTACTATCATCGCTACGCAGACTATAACCTGTATTTGCTGCTGTAAGCGATGACTCCAATTCCATCGCGATAGGCTGGAAAGATCCGACACGGTCGCTTTCCCCAACGTCAAAGAAGAAAGCAAGATGCCGTGCTTGGTCTCCACCGACCACCGTATCCCAATTAGAAACGTGTTTTACGAAGCCAAACTGAAAGTTGTGGATACGCTCGAGTAAATTTGCTTCATAGACATTCTTCGCAAGATGTTGACGCCAATCTTCCAGTTCAATCACCTTAGCAAGCAACTCAAGTGTTGACCCATTATGTTGCTCTTGAAGTGTACGACAAGCATCCGACAATAATTGAGGAGACAGGATGAGCTGCCATCCATTACCTACCAATAAATCTCCAGCTGTCCGCTCCAGGCATCGTACAGGGCTCCCAGGGAGCTCTAACTTGATAATTAGAGACCAGATTACCAAGATTTGCTCTAATAAAGCGTGCTGGAGCGCGTGAAACTCGCCCACTGAGGCAGCAGTAAACCATTTTTCGTCGGCTTCAGTCACCGTGTCGTTATACTGTACATACAGCTTAGTCAACACTCGTATACCCAGAATTTGACGATAGACCCATTGATTGTCAATATCGCATTCATCGTCCACAGCAAACTCCTGAAGGGAACACCACTCTAATCGCTTAAAATGCTGCTCCATCTGCTGTATAAGCGAAGTTTGGAGCTCCAGAAGGATCGTCTCGGCCGCATAGCTCTCGAAAAAATAAGCATGTGAAAAATCAAGATAAGATCGTCGTTGCAAAATTGGCAATAAAATATCAGCATAAGGATCAGTATAAGCTCCAAATGTGAAGTTCAGCTCACTGAGATCTTGAGCTCTTGGTGCAGATTGGAGACCATTCTCAAGAAGAATCTCCACTAGCTGCACTTTGGCCTGTAGGAATGCGACCTCGCAGTCGTAGATGTCTCGAAGCACCTGCAATCGATCAATGGGAGTCACAACGGAGTCGGATTCACAACCGCTGTAGCTTTTATCATTGCTTCGCTTGCGTGGAGAGGTGGGGAGACTGTCATATTCCTGCTTGAAGATGAAAATGCTCGCGATCCGCAACATTTGGAGCTCGAGCACTTCCAAGTCACGTCTTGCAGCTGCGAAGATAAATTCTCGATCTCCACTATTGTCATTTTCCTCATCGTTAATGTCACTTTTTGCTGTGTTTGATGAACGAGTTATAATGTAGTCGCCGCTTTTATCACATTTCATCACATTCCAGGACTTTGATACGGCATCTTCATCGGATACGGAACCATTTTGCCGGCTACTGTTTGTTGATTTAGACAACGAGTTGCTTTGAGAAAACTGGATAAAGTGGAGATAGTTCAGCAATCGCAACAGACTCAGTCGCTTCGCTCGACATGATGAAACTCGCAGAACGTAGAGAGAATAAAGCGCATCGGTATTCCAAAAAATATTCCCTTTGGCATCCAGATTTTCACTATCTTCTTCATCATTGGCTGTAGTTTCTTCCACTTGTTGACTTTCCACAGCGTTTATGCTGGTGACTGCAGCCACGTCGACTTGAGCTCGATTTCTATGCGCTTTGGAGAGCGCTTCCAGCCTGACACGAAGGTATTCAGTGTCAACGAGAGTAAGTAATTCCCACTCGTTCACCAAGAGTGGGTCGATTTTGTGTTCATTTCGAAGAGCTATTAACGTGTCTTCAATTGGTTCCTCGTTCGGCTCACAGTTACCGAGGTATCCACGCTGGATAAGGTCCCATCGAGAGCTTCGCGTGTACGTATGTACTAACCTTTCCAGGTTCATTTCCAGCTCCCTGTCTGTATTAATGGCATTGTCCGTCGGAAAACTGGAGACTACCGCAGCAAGACACTCGTCTGTACTCTGTCTAAGAGTCTGATACTCTTCAACACTGTCTCGAATATCCACGTCAGGAATGGACAAGGAATACTGTTGCGTTAGGGATTTCAACTCTGCAACAAAGTGCGAAGTGGACATCATGAATAGTGGACAGTGTAAGTGATCTTCACTATTCCGATACGCCGTTGCGACGTTCGGTCGTGGAGAGTTTTTCATCTTTTGTTGGTGTATAAGCGCCAGCATGCGCTGTCGTAGATGGAATCGGTGACTTGTAGGCAGCCACTTGAGACGGACGCAGAACCGCTCCAATACAATCGATTGTTGATGTTTCAAGTAGTTGAACTGGAGCAACTGGTTCACGTCCTGGGTGTGTATAAAGTCAGTTGATCCCTCGACTCCATGCTCGAGTCTGTGGTGACTTTCCAGTGCAAGAGCGCGCAATTTCAAGAGGTTTGGGGAAAGTATCGACTGCGATCTTTTCACTGCACAGTGGGTGGTAGCTGCCACGTGCAAGGTCAATTGAGATAGCTTTGAAACGAGAGCTTGCTGCCATTTTGGCTGCTCTGTCGACTGTTGTGGTGTGATATCAGTGCCATTGTCCTTACTGTCCTGGCGTTGATAGCCATACCGTTCGGCAACTTGTTTCCATTGTTGGTCTCGGCGATTAGGTAGTTCGCGTAGTAGAACAAGACCATCTTGTGCTTTCAGTAGAATATCTTCGAGATCTTTTCCGCCTGGTGCAGACGTTTGCTGCTTGATCTTCATCGCGTATTGGAGGAAAGATTTCCATTCCAACGAGAAATTCTACGCAAGAAATGAATACGATCCGTGACTAAAAATGTAGTTTTCTTGCAATAAGTTCTTTGTTACCTGAGCAGTGCGAAGCAGTCGCTCATTCGCCTCTTCCAGTTCGGCTTGCCTTCGAGATATGATGGTCGATTCTGGAGTGCCATCCTCTTGCTTAGTAGGCTGGTGTTTGTGAAGAGACTGTAGTTGTTTCTCTCGTATTTCCATCCTTCACAAATTGTGAACTTGCTCGTTGTGGTGACATGGACACAGGAGTTAGGAGAAACGGTTTTGCTATCGACAGCAAGAATAGCAAATTGCTATTATCAAAGCGATAATGAAAAAAAAATCCACGTAGTTGTAGCTGTTAAACCCAAGGGTGCAAGTAACACGCTTACATGCACATACCCCCATATTTCGCTCGTCTTGACATCGTCACGAGTGGTAGTGGGATTCTTGATATCCAGGAGGTGCAGCAGATGCTCTTACATGTGCCATTACAGTAAAAGCGTAATAGGCCATTATTATGCTCGGATTTCCAGTGGGGACCTTGTACGATCGGCGGGATAAATTATGGAAACACGCACAATTGGACGTTCACGTGCACAAGGCTAGACTAATGCAAATCTCAGGTTACACTCTCGCGAGCGCAAAATGGAATACCCTGCACTCACAGTCCCTGTCAATAGACAGGAAAAAAATGGACACAAGGATATGGAGGGAAAATGCTCACCAAAAGCATACGGCATGTGGTCTTTAACGTTGGAACGCCTGTCAGCATCACTCTTCAACGATGCAGCAGCGTTGCAAAGAGTGTTGTAACAGGGCGATAGTGCGGCAGGCATCAAATCTGCGGCACCGCCGTTCACTTGCAAATTTGCACCCCCGTCGTCAGACCAAGTACAGACCAAGGAATTCCCCTCCAACATGGCAACTAGCAGCACTCTCCCACTCAGCACTCTTCTCTATGTCCGAGACAAGGGATCACAACCCAAGAGAACGATGAACGTCGCTGGCAGGGGCACAATGGGCCTCCGCGATCCTTTTGACGCGAAGCTGGTGCGTACGCTGCACGAAGCGTTCGCAGCTAAAGAAGCCGAACAACGATTACCTACCGAGCTGGTAAAGAAGGAGAGGAAGCACGTGTTCTGGCGGCAATTTGTCATCTCGAAGGCAGCGATGCTCACGGGTCACCGCTAGAACTGGGCACAGCAAGATGAATAGCATTAATACATGTACGATATGCGATAAAGAGCGTGTTACGATGGAATTCGTTGAGGTGGCTGCTTCTGAAATTTAGTCGAATGCGTTTAACTCTACAAACCCGTCAACCCCTCGTTCCTGGATGCAGGTCACAAAGTTCACAAAGAACTCTTCGATCCTACTAGTATCTTCGAAACGACGTTCGCTTGTGAGAAAACCTTGAAATCACGCCACAGTGGCAAAAGTCGGGTGTGTGACACTGAGGGGCAGAGTATCGAGTGCGCTTGGCGGAGCCTAAGGTTTCTAAGAAGCGAGATGACGAACCATCGAATATTCACAGTTCGAATATTCACAATGCAGTCCTACGAGCTACAGGCATAGGAGACTTTGCCTTGCATTATTGCAATACGGTACGTGAGAGTACCAATCCGAAGGAACAATAAAAACGAGATTTTGGCAGCCAAATATGTGGATGTTCAGGTTTTTAAAGTCCTTTTGTCGCCATACAAATTCCTTTTATTAATACGAACACTTTCCTGTTGAGTGCTGTAGCTATTCCATAAATCAAATAAACCGAAGAACAGTATCGCCTCGATAAGGCTAGAGTCCTATACGCGTCGGTCTAGCGTCGCCCCAACTGCACAAACGCGTGCGAACCGACGAGCTGGGCCATGGTCGAGCGCTTCCGTTCAGCCTCGTCCTCCTCGGATGCCGGCTCAGCCTTGGTCTTCTTGCCTGGAAGCAGTGACTTCATCTTTCTTGAGAATTTCGAATCTCGACGCTGCTTCATCGCGACGGTGACTTCGGCAGCCTGGTTGTCGGTCTTGTGGGTATTGTTGTCTTTGCTTGCCTGGGTCTTGTCGTGCAGAAACTTGAGGTTGCCGTGTGTGTTCACAGCGAGGGCGAAGCGAGTGTGCGCGTTCATCGTGACAGGTTAGCTGGCTGGAGTCTCGGGGCTGTTGAGCTCGATGCAAATTGGAGAGTGAGAAGCCCGCGCCGCTCGAAGCACTTCCACTCAAGCTATACCATCATTCGTAGCCGCTGTGAAGGTGCAAAAGTTATCGAATGAGGAGAACTGAAGTTGCTTCGAGGAATCCCTGTCGCCGATTCCAAGCACCCAGTCAACAAAGTCAGCGGTAGCTACAATATGCGGCACAAGCGACGCCTCAAGATCGGGTATGCTGTATGTACCGTGTAACTTATTCGATTTGGCAGGAACATTGAAGCGCAGGAGTGATGGTCCTGTACCACAGCTACTGTGAGAATGCACGTCGCGGCCTACAGCAAAATTGTGTCTGTATGTATCGGCACTCTCGACGCTTGTTGCTAGCTAGGAAACTGATGTCAGCGGGTAAGTCGAGGACATTTGAGATGCAGGTGGCCATTGAGTGGTTTAGAAACTGGAGTGACAGTTTGTTTGGTAATAAGGCTCGTTTGAATTCTTCTTCGTGCGACCCGAATTCTCTGCTAACTCTAACTCTGCTTACTAGTCTATCTACCTATCGACGAAGTCCAGTACTGACGAATGCTCTTGCCTCAATAAACTGCCGGTAGAAGGCGCTCTTCCTCGCTGGCTGATCGGCCAGGTCCTGTTCCCGCCGCTCCGTCTTGTTGCTGGAGAACAGCTCTTTCATCTTGAGCGAAAGTCTTGTCCGTGTTGAATTACGAGGTTTCGAGAGGGCGATGTCGGTGGTTCTTGTGGTCGTCCTTGCGTCGGTGGTGGCCGTCTTCTCGTGGATGTATATGAGTGTTGCTGGGTTGCTGAGAGGAAGCGCGTTGCGCGTGGCCATCATTGAGGGGTTCATGGCGTGCGATGTAGCTATTGCTTGGGGGGTTTGATGTTGTTGGCAAAATTGCAAATAATCAAATAATCAACAGAGTGCAGTCGCTGACAATCACTCGTCTTCAACTGTACATACATGCATTCTCGGCGGTGCTGGGGCAAAGCCCAACAGCTTGCATCGTGCACCACCACAGCGGACAAAGACCAGTCAAGCTTGGACTCAAGACAGCCAACCCATAGGAAGGCGCGCAGAACTATCTCTCTGGGGCTTCTATAATGTTGCGATCTCTCTGGCCCAGAGTCTGAGGCATCTAAAAAGTTACGAACAGCTATCCACAAAATGCCACGTTGACGGAGGAGTGTTCGTAATACTGCTTCTCTCTCAACGCCCTCTCTTGACGATCCGTTATCCTGTATATTTACTGCCTAAACGCTGCGTATACTGGACAGCGTTCTGCTGGTACCTGTATTTCATTTACCTGAGCCAGGGTGCAGTCACCTTACATGCAGCCGACAGCTAACCTCGCACACACGATCTGTAGATTACGACCAACGCCGCGTGCAATGCAATCATGAAACTATTTAATATCTGCTTGTACCATGTACTGGAAACCATACTGCAGCACCGCACAGCCCTGCTCCTGACAATAAAACATCCATGTAGATATCCGCACGCATTCTGCTGTAGAGTGTTTGTGCGTGGTACTCGTCAGGATGAAAAGTACTACACTACACTCCGTCACTGCTTTCGTGGGTCGCGGTGCCCACTTGACCGCCCTCTCAGTGTTCTCCTATGACAATATCCACTTCCTTTAGCCGGAGCCTCTACCTCACTTTACAACTTTTTCCGTTCTACGCAAGTTCCTGCCATGGATGCCAACGACAAACAGTCTTCTTCCACCCCCATGGTCAAGCCTGGGCTCTCCATTGCGTCCGCGACCGGCACTGGAGCCAAGTTCGATCAGAAAGTGATGCTAAATTCCAACCAAAAAGGTGGCGACGAGTTATCGAAGGAGACATCGTCGCAGAGAGAGGCATTGGCGAAGCAGTTTGTTGCTTCACAAGCTACGATGGTTATGGCGAAGCCGGCGATTTTCCGTCGTTGATTCTTAGTCGCTGACAGCTAAGCACAATTCTTAGTACGAGATACTAGCCGATAATGTGTCGCTGTGACACAAAAAAATGAATATAGTGAGGCTATATCTGAGCAATTACCGCTCTCGTAACTGAACTTCTTTGGTGATATCGTTCATGTTTTCACTAAATAGTTTTCCAGCCGGTAAATACCAAAAGATATCTTCCAACGACACATCGATTATAAATATACACATCGGTTCCCGAGGTTTGGTATGGACCGATACATTTTCGTTACCCGCGCGCACTTGAGGACCCAAGCAGTTCATTTCACTGAGGTGGAGTCTAGACGATTCTGCTACAGAAGTTGTACAGCTCATTGTGATCTCGGTTGAGGTGTTGCTTTGGGATTGGACAAATGGAGATTATGATACGGTAACAATGTAATCATACATTACAAGCACGTCGAGATTAATACACCTATTGCAGCCCGACGGGTGTCCAAGGCTGTGATCTCGCTCCCGATCATCGTATGCCGCATCTCGGAGCGTTACAGTTTGACGTCGTCGTCTACTGGTTCCGAAAGCAATTCAAACATATTTACAGTAAACGTAAGTAACATGTGAGGTGCTCGCCAACTCTTTTATTATACTGTACTGTATTTTAGCTAGAGCTGATTCGTCACACTCAATGCATTGCATTACGCAGGTGCCTAGGGACAAAGCGTTTGGGTTTGCCTCATTATCAAGCACACTTCTTGCAGCAAACACGGAATCAAGACACGACGAACCCATCCATGATGGCCACGTGCAATGCACCCTCTTTTAGCGACAAAGCCATATTCATTCCGACGTGCTGCGGTTCCGTCGCCACAGACCGCAATGCATAGCTTAACTGCTCAGTAAGCTTTGCTCACAATGTCAATACGGAAGCACGCCGCTTTAAGAACTGGTTTGCTGTATGAAAATTATTGTACCGCATAGAAAGTTGTATACCCCAAAAGTTATACTTAAAACGCATGAGTGATGATCCTGCAGCGTTCTCAGCACATGGTTGGTGCCTAGTTGGCAGCACCGACAGCGTGTTAGTTGGGGCATGATGACACTGGTGACCATTAAGCAGTTCCGAAGCTGAGGGCGAGTGATAATTTCCTTTGTTGTTGATTACAGCGCTACATTGTTGTATGGTAATAATGCTCGATTGAATTCTTCGTGCGGCCTCAAGCTACTGCTAGTAGCGCTAATATATCAACCGATGCTAGTCTACCTATCGACGAAGTCCAGTACTGACGAATGCCCTTGCCTCGATATACTGTCGGTACAAGGCGTTCTTCCTCGCCGGCGTATCGGCCGGATCTTGTCCCCGTTTCGTTTTGTTGCTGGGTATCGCCTTTATTTTACGCGAAAGTCTTTCCCCTGTCGAATCGCAAAGCTTCGAGAAGGAGATATCGGACATGTTTGTGATCGTCATAGCTTCGATAGCAGCCGTCTTCTCGTACATGTACTTGTGCGTTGCCGAGTCGCTAA